GTCCCCGCCCGGGGGCCCCGGGGGGGGGGGGGGCGACAAGCAGAGCTTTGTGCTCTGAAGCACCGCGCGGCCCTTACGGACCCCCACGCCTGGCCCCAAGCTCACAGATCCCGGGAGCCTGGCCCCAAACCCGGCCCCAAAGGCACAGACCCCAGCATGGGGCTCCAAACCCAATCCCAAATGCATGGAGCTGCAGGGGAGCCCTAGCAAAAGGGCCATGCACGGATGCTCCTGGGGGGACAGGAGACCCCCAGCCTGGGGGCACGTCCCTGGGACTGCCCGGCTGCGGGTGGCACAGCTGGACATCACCACGGGCTGCAGCGAGCCTGTCCCCCTGCAGAGCATGTCCCCAACTAGGACACAGCCCCGTCCCCAGCTGGGGATGTTTAACAAGTTCCAGCCGAAACTCCTTCCCCAGCAAACTCCTTCCGATGCCACAAATCCTCCCGACCCCGCGATTACGCAGCTCCACCGTATCTGGGTCACTGCTGTGAGTCACGGACACCCGGAGAGTGACTCAACGCAATTAGAGGGGCCAGATCCCGTGGCCAATTTCCCCAGGAGAGACTCCAAAACAGTGAGGAGGGGAAGGACGGACGGACATCACCTCCAGACACCCCCAGTAGCCGCCAGCCAGACACTCTCCGGGCAGGAGAGGGGGTGAACCGGCATCCCCCACCCTGCAGCCTCTGAGGGGTGGAGGGGCCCTTCCCAGCCCAAGCCACAAAGGCTTCACAGCCAGGACCGGCGCTTCCCCGCGAGGGTTTGGCAGGAACGGGCTCCACACCCAGCTGCCAAGCAAGGCGGGGGTCCCGACAGCCCTGGACCCCAACCCCAGGGTGGTCCCAGCACTGGGTGGGATGGATGGCACACAAGCCCGGTGCAGCCCAGCACCCCCAGGCTGGATTTGGCCCTGTGGGGTCAGTCGAGTGTATCCTCCAGGTATTCCTGGAGGGTGACCACAGCCCTGGGCTGCGGTGGCTCCCTGGGCCACCGCAGCCGAGGAGGGGCGGGAAAGCAAAGCCACCACCAGACCCACCCCATGGGAGCCCCGACAACACCTGGGACATTGCTTCTGCAAGGGGCATCCGTCCCCGAGCTCCAGCCACCCCCCTCATCCCACAGCCACGCAGGATGCTTAGCACGGCCCTCGCCCTGCAACCGCCCTCGCAGACAGACAGACAGCCGCTTTCTAGGCTCGCCACGGGAATCTCAACAAGGCAGCATTTCCCAACCGAAAAAATACAGCAGGGAAAGAAAAACAGCAGACAGAAACCACAAGAAAAACCCCACTCAGCCTTTCCCATAGCGCTGACGCAATTAAGTCACCAGCCCCGCGAGATGGAAAACACTTTGCCAGCTTCCCACCCCCCCCGTGCCGAGCGGGACGAAGGCACTGGCGGCCGTGGTCCCCCTCCCCACGGCACGGCCCCGAGACAGCACGCACTGGGCACTCGCCGATTTACTGGGGTGTTGCTCAGACATCCTTTTTCCAAAGTATTAATTAGTCATTGCATTGCTCACTTGAAACATAAATAGCTGTAGCATGACAGCGAACACGAGTTTTCCTTGGAAAAAGCCTTTTCCAAATCTTTTTCTTCCCAGATGCCCCTGTTCGCAGACGGGAATAACTCGCAGCCTGGCAATCCCCCCCAGCCATCCACGACAGCCCTGCATTTCCAGGGCAGAGAAGCGAACTCTGGTCATTGCACTTATTTACACACTTGTGGCTCTCCCAGCCAGAGGGGCTTTTCCAGCCAACACCGCGATGCCGGGCCAGCGATTCCAGCGGCAAAGCCAGCGCCACTGCCCAGCCTGACGTGAAGCTTATGGGAAGAAGCCAAGCGAGCAAGACTCCACCACCGCCCCAGGTGAAGCGCTCCGGCAGCTCATTGCCCCCGCTCGCAGCACGTGCCTCGTTTCCACCCTCCACTGCACAGCTCAGCTCCCCGCCGCTGCCCTCCCAGCCCTTCCCTCCACCGTGCAAGCGAGCAAAATGGAGAAAATGGGGAGATGAAGGCACCCATCACCTTCCTCCCCTTGCACTCCGTGCGTGCAGGCAGAGTCTGGGTGCTCAGCGCTTCCCGGTGCTCAGCCAGTGGGGAGGGCTCTCCCAACGGCAGAGCTCTGAATTAAACATACTACCCTAATGAGTTGATTTTATTAATTTGCAAATGCATTGAGAACTCATTATCAAAATAAACATCAATTCACTCCACCGAGCGCAGCGCCGCGCACGCCCCAGCAGCGCTGCAGCTGGGGCTGCACGCGGCCTCTGCCCTGAGACGCGCCGCTGGTCCCCTCTGCACCCCATCTCTGGCACCCACCGCAGGCCAGCCTCGGGGGGGTGCAGGGGCAACAGCTGCCCACCCTGCAAAGCACCTTGAACCACGGGGTTTGCTTCTCCATTTCGGCTGGGGGGGCTTCAAGCTGGGCACC